AGACCCCCACAATCACTGGGGCAGGGTTGTGGAAAGAGGCCATTGTTCTCATCAACGAGAGGACAAGGTGCTTTGGCAGGGGGCCCTTCCATATCCATGTTGAGGGCATTTGGTCTTATATGGTTCAGAAGGAGGAATTGCAGGCCTATCCCGCACCCCTTTCCTGGCTATCCAAATAAGGTTGTGTTTTTTAATTTATGGATTTTAGTGGGCACTCCATGCTTTTTCTTTGTTGTTTTTTGTGTGGGGTTACCCCTTAAAAGCATACTAGACATGGAGGACCTCACACTTTTTTTTGTGGGGTCTCCCTTAAAATTCATATCAGATCTAAAAGGACCTGGAATGAGTTTTAAAGAGGGACACATTTTTTTTTTTTTTTTTTTTTTACACTAGCCCCAGTGTTTACATTCACCTGTCTGTCAATCCTCACCTGACAGCTTGACAGCTGAATGTGTCAAGGGGTGATGAGTCACTGGCTGTTAACAATCAGGAGGAAACTGTCACATTTGCACTTCACATTGCAGCTGGAGGTTTGCTTGGTCGAACACCCATTCCTTTGTTCATTTGCACAGGATTCTCCACAGACTCTACATAGTGCAGAGGTTTCCACCTCATATTTCCCCTGCTGCTTGAATGTTCTTAGAATGAAATGGTAATGAAAACGTGAAAGGCAAACAAAATTATTACACACATATTACAAACAATATGGGTGCTATTTGTTACAAATGCTGAGACTTTCACAAATCAAAATATTTAGAGAGAGACTCCTTTAAATTTAATAATTTTTCTTAACAGGAACTATAAATATAACATCAGCATGGACGAAAATGCTGTATAGTGCTAACAGCACCAACAAACAAGTCTGAAATCTAAACTATTATCCATAGGAGTTTACTTATAAAGCAGTGAATGTGACACAAATATTCAATTCAGGTGAATCTTTCTGTGCATGTATTTTAAAACACGGTTAATGATTAATTACCTGTGAATGTTTGGTGACTGTCACATTAAATGCTTTATAAATATGCCCGTCTGTAAAGTATAGTAATGTCTTGATTTACCACTTAGCTCTAGTTCATTCTGATGCAATTACTAATGAATCTATCTAGGCAGTGATCCAGCTTTTACTGCTTCGTCTTCTAACAAAATATTTTTGTATTCATCTCAAAATGCTTAATCCCTCCTCTAACCAGCATGCCCCAGTTTGTAGCACAGAGTGTTGGATCTCTGTACCTCAATGGACTCCAAACAAAGGATTTTACAATAAGTACAAAATCATATTTTTGTTGTGGCTCAAGGAGCAAAAGCTGGATTACTGCCTGGAAGGAACAATAAATCTCCTTACCTATATGAATTAGTAACTGCATCAAGACCCAACAAGAGCTAAGTGACAAATACAAAAATCCTATTTTTTTTTTTTGTCCATTGAGGAACACAGTAAATCGTATAGTCTCGGGGCATCCAAAAGCAGTAGATTTGAAGGGTGGGCAACTGCAACACTACTAACAGGCACAAAAGAAATAGGACTGTGGACGCACTGCAGCTCAAGGACCTAAGCCCGAATCGGTCACCCGATGAGGCAAAACTCCATACCTGCTATGTGAAGCCACCAACACGACCAAAGGAAGAACACAGAGAATCATCCTGATGTCCAACACCAAGAAGAAAAAATGGTCACCAATAAAAAAAGAATTCCACATGAAAAGAAGCGCTACACCTTGGATCAAGCGAGAAGCTGAGCAACTAAAATCTACACAAACAGGTGAAAAACATCCAATACTCAGAGGGAAAAAATCCACAAGCTGATGTGGTCAACTAGTCAAGCCCTTAGTATGAACAGTCCCAGAGAAGAAACCAAGGAAAGGTGGTCGTGGTAAAAGGTAGACCAGCAGGTCTATGTAAGAAGACCCTAAGCATTTACACACCTGATCCTAGAAGGATTAAGGAACTCCTTATCTAGACAAATAATCCAGATAGAAAACTCATCTCACGACATGAGATTAAATCAAGGGAGAACACTGTTTAGGCAGGAAGGGTGTAAAGATCCCGTGAAGCCTGCATGACTGAGCCCAGTGGGTCGCATTTCGGGCTAGGCCAACAATCTTAAGTCCAGCGGGCTCCAAGCATGGCCTCCACCGCTGTTTCTGAGGATACACCAATCCAGACAACTATTGTGCAGAGACTAGCTCAAGCAAAGTCTTGGTAAAAGACATTGGAGGAAAAAAAATGTTTCTAGGATGTACCAAGTCACTTAATTAAAGGAAAAAAAGCATGCAACCTCCTAGGAAATTAGCAAAAACAAATGGCATTATGGTTGCAGGGGTTATACAAAGCTGAAAGGTGGCATTAGAGCCGGACTAAATCTTTTTATACTTCCTGTCTCCCTCAATTCACATGTTTTCCAGATAAAAAAGAAAAAACTGGAAAACCAACATGTCTACATATCTCATCACATTAAAAACATCAACGTTGTCGCAAACCACCAGATTCTGGTCATTGCTTTATGCAGCACTAGAAGGTCCCATGCACACTTGACATTTAGCCCTGATGCATGGGGCTCTGGCATTTTGCTGAAGGCACAGGTGCACTGTCCAGCCTCGTTGACACCAGCCTGTCAAACTGAGCAGCTCCAATGAAGTAAAAATCAACCAAGAGGTGCTAGGACTTTGATGTGAGTTACATAGTAGTGAGAGGACAAAAGCATTTAAAGAACCCACTGGCTCAGGTTAGGCTGCTCACAACAGAAAGGCCTTCCCTCCAGTGGGTACCCTTGCAGGTTACAGAAAAAAAATGCATGCACCAATAGAAGGAGTGCCAGACCAAAAGGATATTAGAGTCTGAATTCATTAGTTTGCACAAAAAAAAAAACCCCTCACTCATCATCAGGGCTTCAGAGAATTGAATGGACTCAAAAGAGCATTTTCATATGCTGAGAGGCTGATATTTCTGGGTATTCATCCCTGGGTGCATACAGACCTAAACATTCATACTACTAGGTGCCCCATCCAGCCCCAGCAGCTATCAGTGTCTCAGGGTTTGACAGGCTGCCGGCAGTGGGGCTGAATGATGCACACCAATGCCCTCCAGCTGCAGCTAAAACACCAGGGGCCCCATGCACCAGGGTTAAATGCCCTGTGTGCATGGGGCCTATGGGATGACTTGCAATCTAAAATTAAGTGGAATGGCTGGATGATCTTAATGTTGTGGTCCCAGAAATCAAATTATCCATAGACAGAAAAATATTCCATATCTTAGTTCAGGTAATATAAACAGTTAAGTTCTCACTGTGCTGAAATCTCTCATATAGCAACAATGTATTTTAAAACTCAAACTGCTGGTAAAAGCTACACTAGATGTAATGTAGCCAGATATGTATTGCATTATCTTTACCAACCGCTGTAGATGAGCAATTTGGAGAAAGTGACAAGTGGTTCTACTTCGTAGCCAAAGATTAGCGTTTCAATGCTGACCTCAATGGGGAATATTGTGGTTACAGTTTTGCACAGCAGCGACTGTATTCTGTTTTATAATCAACAATCTAGTTTAAGCAAACATGCTAGCTAAATTAGGACTTCTTTCTGTGGTGCTAGAATAAATTAAAAAACATGGAAGCAATGCAATTAAGTAAATAATCACACATTATTTATTTATAGAAATGTAAATCATACCTCGTAGCCAAAAAATTTGAACACAATTCAAAACTTTACTCTTTACTTCCCAGTAACCAGCAACAGGTCAACTGGATAATTCAAGAGTCATCTGGCTATTAAGTTAGGTGACAAATGTAATAGTCAAAAAATCCCCTTAAAACCCTGATGGATACTTCATAAAGTAAACACCACAAACATAATTACAATATTGCCAGCCAAAATGAGCAGTTACTGTAAAAGTTCTACTTTATAGTAAAGTAAGCCTTAACCTGAAACTGTGACTAACCAAAAAAGGTAAAATATGTACATACAATTACATAAAAAATTGGAATAAAAAGGAAAGTGGAAGGGAAAAAAAACACTGTTACATGAGAAAAGATGTTCCACTTTCTGTCAATTCTTTTTTTACCACATTAAAGCGAACCTATCATGTCAAATTGCATAATCTACCATTAGTACTAGAGGCTGAGTAAAAACTGAAATGCAGTGTATTGATACTGTCACGCCAACATTTCATGAGGAACAGCAATTGTTCATATCTCCCTTAATTGACTACCCATGAAATGCTCAGAGCACCAAACTGGATTATCATTCAAAAAACAGATGGGGGTTTATTTAATAAAGCTAGAGTGTAAAAAATCAGGGTCACTTCTGCATAGAAACCAATCAGTTTCTAACCTCAGCTAGTTTAGTTCAGCTTTGGCAATAAAACCTGGAAGCGGACTGGTTTCTATGCAGAAGTAAGCCTGATTTTGCACTCTCCAGCTTTAGTAAATAAACTCCATGGAGTCGTGGGGCAAAACAAGATTCCTCCAGAGGAATGGAGAAACACATAAGTACATGGTAGCTCAGTCTCACCCAACTTTTATCTGGCCAGATGGTGCCAACTTCAAGCAAATATTGAGAAGGAAAAAAAAAGTGACACATTGTGTCTGATAGGTCCGCTTTAAATAATTCTATTACTATTAGAGGTAGGGCTGGTCATGGCTCTCCATCTGGTGTACTAAAAATCCCAGCATATTGCTGGCTCAGAGACTTCATTTACAAAGTCAGACAGCCATAGGTCACTGAGCCTATATCATATGAGACCTGTGTCTAACACATAATTCATAAATTACTCTTCTCTAATGAACAAATGAAGTTCTTTTCAATATATATAGCTTTTATTTTACCTTTGACAATCAAATATTCCAAAATTAGCACATGGTGGCCAATCTCAGTTCGCTGCCTCTTTAAAAGTTTGAAGACTAAATAGAAAAAAAAGGCTTCATCTGTGGCCTCATGTAAAATTTGAAAATTTTGGTATAAAAGAAAAACTCATCTAAAAAGGTAGATAAACTAACAAAAAGATTAAACTGTTTTGTGACAGTACAAATCTTTTAAAGTCTTTAGCTCTTCAATTAATGTTTTGTTTTGATTTTCAAGCACTGCAACTCTGTTCTCCAAGCATTTAACATATTCCTTCTTTTTTTCTCCGCACTCTCGGGCAGCCTCCCTACAAGTGAAGGACACATCATAAGTACACTTATTGAATCTTATTAGACACAAAACATGGCACAAGGGAAACATGTAGACACAATGACAACTTTGAGAACTAAAGAAAAATTGGATCATGTTTAATAGGTAAATCTTGATTTGCATTCTGACCACAAAGCTGTAAAGAAAGATTTACAGCGAAGGCTCAGACATGGTAGAATTCAATTCAAAACCACATGGATCTATAGTTTGTTTAGGTTAACCACTTCCCGACCATCCTATATTTATTTATTACAGGTACTTGTATAGCTCTGTCAATTTACATAGTGCTTTACATATATATTGTACATTCACATCAGTCCCCAACTCTCAAGGGGCGTACAATCTAAAGTCCCTAACTCACATTCATACATACTAGGGTCAATTTAGACAGGATCCAAGTAACCTAGAGTGTGGGAGGAAACCGGAGGAAACCCACACAGGCAGAACATGAAAACTCCAGGTAGGTGGTGTGGTGGTTGGGATTCGAACCAACGACCCTAGTACTGCCAGGCGGAAGTGCTAACCATTTAGCCGGTGTGTGGCATAATAGCAGAACTACTGCTACAGGGCGGCAGTGCTACTCAAAATCACGTAGATATACGTACGTTTGTATTTCCGGGTAGGGGGTGCACACGCCACCCTACCCGCACCTCCATTGGTGGCTACAGCTATTGATCATCGGGTCCTGGCCAGAGATTCCCCACCGGCATCCAGCGATTGCCAAGGAACACGGACAGGGGAGAGGCCTGTATGTAAACAATACAGGTCTCTCCCCTGTCAGCACCAACATTCTGCTTTGTATTGCTCTGCATAGCAGAGCAATACAAAGCAGCATGCTTACATAGCAAGCACACACACAGCACACAGTTAACCCTTTGATCGGCCCAGATGTTAACTCCTTCCTGCCCAGTGTCATTAGTGTCAGTGCTTTTTATTAGCACTGATCACTGTATTAGTGTCACTGGGGATGTCAGAGGCAGTTAGTCACTTCCCCCTCAGTATCAGAATACCCGCCGCAGTCCCACTATAAGTCGCTGATTGCCGCCATTACTAGTATATATATTTAAAAAAAATTTTTTTTTTAAAAATTCCAGTATTACATACACCACCATTTGTAAATGCTATAAAAAACTTTCACGTAAACCAATTAATTTATACGTATTGGGATTTTTTTTTTTCTTTAGGAAACACATGTAGCAGAATACAATTTTGGACTAAATTTATGATGGAATTTGATTTTTTTAAATTTTTTTTATGGATACATTTTATAGCAAATAGTCAAAAATATTTTTTTTTTTTCAAAATTTTCGGTCTTTTTCATAGCGCAAAAAACAAAAACAAACAAAAAAAACCCGCAGAGGCGATCAAATACCACCGAAAAAAATCTCCATTTGTAGGGAAAAAAAAAAGGATATAAATTTCATTTGGGTGCAGCATTGCATGACTGCATAATTGTCAGTTAAAGTAATGCAGCATCGTATCGCAAAAAATGGCCTGGTCAGGAAGGGAAGTAAATCCTCTGGAGGGCAAGTGGTTAAGGAATATGAGAAACTGCAAAACTCTTGCAGGCTAAAACTGGGCACTGTTAGCAATTGATATGTCACTGCCCCCTCCGCCCACCAAGCATGCAACTTCTAATGAGCCTTTGCTGCCATTTTGCAAGAAAGCAAAATTTTACAGTGAGAAGAAATTGCACAGATGAAGTTGTTCTGCTTATTTTCTCACCTGTTTTTCATTAATCTTATTTCTCGCTTTAACTGTGGGTCATCTGTCTTTGGGGGTTGACAGGACAGTGTAACAGGTGATGTCATTACCACAGTTTGTGGAAGCGAGGTGGTGGTTGATGTAGTCCGTATCTGGTAAGTCTGCATGTCTCCTGAAGCAGCTGAAAAGCACAAAAATGAAACAGTGTTGGGCAAAACATAATCCACATCTATGAATTTGGGTGATTAACCACGATTTGCTGCACCACAGCGACATGGGATTTACTTACTCTGTACAACCACCTGGTTGCTGGGAACAAGAATCTGTTGACCATCAGATGTCTGAGCATACTGTAGTATAGTTGTACCAGTCTGGTTACTGCCAGCATTGGACATAGTCAATGTCTGCAACCCTTGTACACCATCTGTTGCAGCTGTAGCAAGCTGAAGTGTTCCATTGGGAGCAATAGTTACTAAAAGGTACAGAATGAAACTATATTAAATATTGAGACAATCGCACTAAAAACTAAAAAAAAATAAAAAAAAAAACAAAAACTTTTACAGTGACCCAATATGGTGCCATTTTTTACAACACTGTGCAAAAAGGGGGCGTACAATCTAAAGACCCTAACTCACATTCATACATACTAGAGCCAATTTAGACAGGATCCAATTAACCTACCAGCATGTGTTTGGAGTGTTGGAGGAAACCGGAGTACCCGGAGGAATCCACGCACACACAGGGAGAACATGCATACTCCAGGCAGGTGATGTGGTGGTTGGGATTCGAATCAAACAACACTAGTACTGCCAGGCGGAAGTGCTAACCATTTAGCCACTGTGCTGCTCATAACAGCAGAACTATTGCTACAGGGCGGCAGTGCTGCTCAAAATCATTTATATCACTCTTTCGCATACTGCTTTTGCTACTTGCTTGTGTGTGTCTTTATTTGTGGCGTTGCTTTGAAGGATGTTGGCGCAGCATCATACACCCATCGACTGACACTATATTTTGATGGCTGGCTTTGTTTCTGTGGCTGTTTCATCACTAGTCTGAAGTTCTAGCATGTCTAGCTGGCCACGGACCAGAATCTAGAACTGAGGTGGATCATCGATTGAGTTGAGTTATTACACACCTTGAGTGTTTTCTACACCTCAAATACAGGATTGCCACTATATTTCATGGTTCCAGCCTCCATAGCAAGTCACAGATCTAATATACAGGGATTTGGATTGATTCATTATATTGACCCCTTGTTTTAACATCTTTTTAATTATGCTGCTGCAGACTTCCAATCCAATTACAATGCTGTTTAATCTGCATTGTTGCTAGTATCTGTGTGTGGATTGTATGCCTGTGAACCCCAGGCTGTATCTCTTATGACAACGTAATTTTGTTTTTAAATTGTGTCTGGTGTTATTGCATTTAATATATTTTTTGATATCATCAATAAGTTTGCATTTTCTGGAGCCGCGGTTTAGTTCTCTTTGGGACCTCTTTAACCACTTGCCTACCTGGCACTTATACCTCCTTCCTGCCCCGGCCAATTTTCAGCTTTTAGCGCTGTCGCACTTTGAGTGACAATTGCGCAGTCATGCAACATTGTACCCATATGAATTTTTTTCCTTATTTTCACACAAATAGAGCTTTCTTTTGGTAATATGTACTAGGTTCTAGGGGTTTTATTTTTTGTGCTATAAACAAAAAAAATTAGCAAAAAGTTTGAAAAAAAAAAAGTTTTTTTCTTTGTTTCTATTATAAAATTTTGCAAACAGGTAATTTTTCTCCTTCACCGATGTGCATTGATGAGGCAGCACTGATAGGCAACAATGATGGGCACTTATATGCAACAATGATGGGCACTGATAGGTGGCACTGAGCGGCACTGCTGGGCACCGATCATCAGTGCCCTGATGATCGCTGCCGATCCCTCCACTGACAATTGCCAGTTATCAGCAGTACTTTCCTCATGCTGTTACAGCATGAGAAAAGTGCAGCCGATAAAAGCCAACTGCATTTACGGGTGATCTGCTGTGTCATTGGACACGTCTGATCATGTGGTAAAAGGCAGCTGTGATTGGCCTTTTACCACATCACGTGATCAGCTGTGTCCGTAGGACACAGCGATCACGGAGATGGCCGGGTGCGCGCCCGCGGAGGTGCGCGGGAGGGCACGTTCTGGGAGGATGTCATATGATGCCCTTCCAGAACTGGCCGGCCACAGTGAAGCCATCATTCAGCTATCTGTGGTTGGCAAGTGGTTAAATGTGAGCTCTTTGCTTGCACGGACTTATTTTTGCCAATGTATTTTTAGGTCCCAAGAACACCACCCTTAACTATAGGCGAGTTGGCAACTGATCTTATAGCATTAATCTTGCGGGTGCCCTGGTTGGTTTTTAAACCTTAGTGGATGGAAAGGTATAATACTAATCTTGTAAAAGTTATTGATCAGAGGAAATATGGTGGCCTTCCTGCAGACTGGGTTGGAGAAGCTCCTCCATTTGGGACAGGAATGTTTATCAATATCCCTCAAGAAATCTACGACGATACATTAATTCCACTTTTTCAGACTGTTGGAACACTGTATGAGTTTAGTCTTATGATGACTTTTCTAGTGGACAGATTACAGAAGTGAAAGACAAACACCTGAAATACAGCATATGTGTAATGTACTTTGTGTAACCAGGGCTATGGCTGCCGGACTGTCTGGGGTGGGTCCCCTGACTGATCAAAGCTGGCCTGGGTGTCTGGCTGTTGATTAGCTTACTGTTAATTACATCACTGTTCAATTAAGTTACTGTTAGCTGTTCATTAGATATAGTAATGATATTACTTTTTTAAGTTTGCATTGTTTAGGATAATGTGATCAAGCTCTTAATCGGATTTTGTGTGGTATAAATTCTGTGCAAACGTTTAATAAAAAAACAGTTTCTGTTTGAACCTAAGCTAGTGTCCTCTAGTTCTCAAGTGCAATTCCCAGCTATAATATCTTGTTCCTGTGTTCCAGCAGCAAGGAAGCAACTCTTTGGCGAAGGCACCCAGTCAATGTCGCAGTCTCTGCGGGGCCAGAGTTTTTTTTTGTGTCCATAGATAGGCAATGGCTGCCTGACAGGCTACAGATGGGAGATGGGCCCCATTACCCAATATAAAATTTATTTTATTGGTGAAACATGCTGTTACTTTAAATAATATTCAGTTGTGGTGTGACTTTAGACCGTGTCATTGGTAGCAACTGACCAGTGACAGGATGGCTAGGCTAGGTCAGGAGACCTGCTTCTAGAACTATACATCCACTGGTGTCAAAGTTGAGAACCACTGATCTAAAGGGTACTTTTTTTTTGCTGTTTTAGCATATTTCATAACATGCAAAAAAAAAAAATGGAGTAGAATATAACTCCATGAAAGAGGAAATCTAGTATTTAAACAAATGCAATTGATTTAAACAAGAAGGAATATATAAACTGACAATTTAATTGAAATCAATTTTTTTAAACTGCATGACTTAAGTTGGTCTTTAACACGGCACTGTAGTTCACCCATATACTGGACTATAAATATGCTGCCACGCATATGCTGTTAAGGTATGTTATTTGTGTTATGGACCCTGGGTAGGGATGAGCAGAGTAGTATCAGTGAAACTGAGTTTACCCCACTTTGCTGAAATTTTATCAGAATTGCCTTCTCAATGATTCCAAAGGCAAAAGAAGAAGTTTCACAGTGAACCTGAATTTGTCAAAATCATTCTGCTCATCCTTAGTCGTCGTAGTTACGACACAAGTTAAGACCATAATGGGAGACTCTAATGTCAGAGAACACAGACCATTTAAAAGTAATATTATTTTGCATGTATCTACACTTGTCCTGGATACCATCGTCACTAGGAAGGAAAACAAAGGAAAATCCAAAATTGTTTTTATTTTTTATTTTAAAATTAAAAAATTTTAGGCTGTTGCAAGAAAACAAATAGCAGGGAAAATCTTAAGTGTTCCAGTGCAAATTCCCTGAGAGGGAATATGCTCACTTTATAAGATTTCTTCTCACATCCTGTTCGCTGTACAGGACAGACAGTGAAGTGAAATCTGTCCAAGTCAGCTGGTCATGTGTGCTGCAGTAAGCTGGCAAGGAACATTTTAATTAGAAGGAAAGAGAATGCACAGAGGGATGACTTATCACTGTGCTGTTGATATTCCTTCAATAACCGCAAGCTGAGGTGAGCAGGTTGTTTTTTTTTTTTTAATTATTTGTTTGTTTTTAAACTGTAGAGAAACTTCAGACCACCATGATGGCTCTGCTGACTGGAGGGGTATCTATATCTCAGGAATGGATAGACAGAAATGTTAATCTTTTTGCAGGTAAAACAGCTTTCATAGTTATTGTAAGAAGATATTTAGGTGTTATGTAGGCTAGAGGTCAGCTTAAAAGTATACCTAAAGAGCAAACTATTTATTTTAGCTTTGGATAAAAAAAAAAAAAAAAAAAAAAAAAAAAAAAAAAAAAAAGGTGCTCACTGAAAACATATGCTTTCCCTTTAATGAACCAACCATTCTATAGTCTAATACTCACCATACTGTCCAGTGCTGGTCTGATATATTGTAGTGGCAGCAGACATTGGCGTAACAGTTGATGCTCCTGCTCCGTCTTCACGTTTTCTATCTCCAGTGTCTTCAGAAGAGAGATCTTTCAAAATTTGCCTTTAAAAAGACAAAAAACAAAAAAAACAAAACTTAAAAGACATAGACCCTTTATAATAGCATCAATACCATGGTCCATTTCACAACCTGAAATGTAAGTAAGAGCGGAAAAAGTAAATACACAGGAAAACGTACTTCTCTAGACCTAGAGTAGAAAAACGTAATGTGAATAAATCACCAGGACCAGATGGCTCACACCCCAGAGTTCTAAAAGAACTTAATGTTGTAGCTAAAGTATTCCTAATTTATTTTAAGGATAGCTTTCTGCCTGGAATGGTACCAGCAGAAAAGCAAAACACAGTACCAATATTCGAAATTTGCCTGGAAACTACAGACCTGCAGGCCTAACATCAACAGTCTGTAACTACAAGTACAACTACAAAAGTATAACAAGGAACTGCAAGGGACCATATCCAAATATTTTCAGATGAAAATTGTATCACTAGTATTACCCAACATAGATTTATGAAACACCATTCTTGGCAGACCGACATTTCAACATTCTAGGAGGTAAGCTGTGAACATAACGTATCTAAATTTCACGAACGAATTTGATATAGTATCCCACAAAAGCTTAATTTACAAATTAAGGTTTTTTGAGTTTGACGATATTGTATGTACCTGGATAAAAGAATGGTCGTACAAGCACGCCCAAAGGGTGGTGATCAATAGCATAATTTCTATCTGGCCTAGAGTTGTGAGTGGTGTCCAACAGGGCACTGTCCTGGGACCAATTCTGTTTAGATTTTTCATAAATAATATAGAGGTTGGAATACCTAGTTCAATCTCATCATTTGCTGATGAAACAAAGCTAAACCAGACAATAACTTTACAACAAGATATAGAATCTTATATAGAAGACCTAGTAAAAAGAGAGGGGTAGGCAGCTATATAGCAGGTGAGGTTTAAAGTGATACTAAACCCAGGACCCGTCATTTACTATATCTGGTCTCCCACAGTACACAAAACATGGAAGTGCAATTATTTTAGTAAATATAAACTGCTAAATACCTTTTCTCATCAGCAATCAGAGCAGTCTTGGGACTTCAGCAGAGCACTGGTTAAAGCTTGTAGGAGTTTTCTTTCTGCTCTAGGAGGATGTGAAACCCCTTGACCCTCTGTTTAGATGGTGCCGATTGGCCCTGTGCTCCTCACACACACTCTCCCAAGAAAAAAAAAAAAACCCTTTCTAGCAATACACACCAAACTGAGCATGTGCATGCGACTACGGATTCAGTCTGTATCAGGTGGTAATTTCAACAAGAGGAGGGGCAGAGAAAAAAGGATCAGTATGTTTACACAATGCAAAGGATTAACCCCTTAGGTTCCACAGTGAGTATAACAAGCATGCTTTACTGCATATAGAGACTGATTTTACTGCTGTGGGTTTAAACACTGAAAAATGTGAAGTAATGCACTTGAGAGCTAGACCATATGCATGCAAGTTTCTCGCTAGGTAGAGAACCTCTGGAGAATTGAGGATTATAAAGGATCTGAGGGTCTTAGTAGATCACAGACTCAGCAACAGCATGCACTGCCAAGCTGAAGAAAGCAAGCCTAGCAGACTATTGGCATGCATTAAAAGGGTATTCACTCAAGATAAAACTATATTTTGTCCATTTTACAAAACACTGGATTTGCCACATCTTGAGTAAGCTGTTCAGATTTGGTCACCAGTCCTCAGAAATGTTGTCCTAGAATTGGTGGGAGTCAACAGAAGGGCAACAAAGCTAGTAAGAGGGAAGTGGGCCACAAGAATGACTAGAAAAACTAAACAAAAAGTCTCCCTGGAGAAGAAGTACTTAAGAGGAGATACGATAACTGGATTGGTTCACTGAAGGACACAGTTCATAAGTAGTCTAGATCATAGGGTTATAGTGGCACCTTCAGGATGACACTAGGCGAGGGGGGAAAAAACCAAAAAGGAAGGAGGAGGTAGGGAGGAGGAGGAAGGAGGAAGGGAGGAAGAAAGAAGGGAGGAAGAAGGGAGGAAGAAGGGAGGAAGAAGGGAGGAAGAAGGGAGGAAGAAGGGAGGAAGAAGGGAGGAAAGAAGGGAGGAAGAAGGGAGGAAGAAGGGAGGAAGAAGGGAGGAAGAAGGGAGGAAGAAGGGAGGAAGAAGGGAGGAAGAAGGGAGGAAGAAGGGAGGAAGAAGGGGAGGAAGAAGGGAGGAGGAGGGAGCGCGAGCACAGCACCACCTATGCGCTGTTAAATCCCCCATCTGCTATAGGCAGCTCAATCTGTCACCAAGCAGCACCAAGAAAACATGACAGAGGGATGGGTGCTGTGCCCTTCAATGAATGCAGAGAAAGGGATTTTACAGTGGGTAACAAACAATCCTGTTTACTCTTATGATCATTGAAGGACACAGCTCCTCAGAAGTCTTGCCAGTAAGGACACCCAAAAGCAGTGCCTCATTGAGGGGTGGGAAGCCAGATAAGATGGTGCAAAACCACTTAAGAACCCCCCAGAAGAGGATCAAAGAACCTGAAACATACACCAGCAAAACCCTACAGCCAAAACATGCACCCGAAAGTGCCCAAACAACTTTGTAAAACTCAGTAAAAGGTGTGCACAGACAACCAGGTAACCACCTTCCAAACCTGAGACACAGACACCTGATGTCAGAAGGCCCAAGAGGCACCAATCGCCCAGGTGGGGAAGGGAGGATCCTGACCCCTAATGACATAGGCCTGGACAACAGTCTACTCAATCCAAGCAAAATAGTGGCAGAAGAACCTTTTTGTGGACTGACCGTAATCACAAAAAAAAGAGAATTCTATCCACGGAAGGAAGCCACTGCTGCCAAATACACCCCAATTTCCTAACATCCAAACCATATCCAAGATATGAAGCACAACTTCCATAGAATAGGAAGGTCACAGGCACAGGAATGGAAGAACCATATCTTCATTCTGATGAAAATCGGACACCACGTTTGGCAAAAAGGAGGAATGTGGACGAAGAAACTTTTTCCAAGTGTATCCCTCCACATAGACAGACTTACAAGACAAAACCACCAGTTCTGACATGCGGAGGTGGTAACAACCAAAAAAGCAACCTTCTGGGAAAGGGTTACTAAGGGAAGATCCCTACTATTCTTAAAGGAGGGCTTCTGGAGAACCGAAAGAATGAGATTCAGGTCCCATTGCAGCAACTGATATTGCACTGGAGGAGCTACAGGTCGAACCCCTCGAATGAAGGTACAAATCAAGGAGTGCATGGTCAGAAGGCATTGAAAGAAAATGGCAAGGGCACAAATCTGGCCCATAACGGTACACAAGTCAAGCTTCGATTACTACCCCTTTGGAGAAAGGACAAAATCTGAGCCACCAAAAATCTGAGCCACCAAAAAGGTAAAATGGACGAAAGCCCACAGCCTTGCACTATAAAATATAAGACTTCCAAGTACAATGGCAAACCTTTTTTTAGGTGGATTTACACGCCTTCAAGAGCCAGGCCATCAAAGCCAGCGATGGTAAAGTAGGGTGGAAAATCAGTGTCTGGGACAGAAAATCCTCTGGGAGCCGCTAGAGGGCATCCACGATCAGCCACACCACATTGGCGTACCAGGGTCAACATGGCCAATCCAGAGTCACCAGAAAGACCGAAATCCCTTCAGCTTCTATTCTCTGCAACACAAGGGAGATATTTTAGAGGGGGAAAGGTGTAAATGAGATGAAAAAAACACTCCATTGCACCACCAGAGCATCCGCCAGCAAATCCAGAGTGTCCATTGAGACGGGACATCCAATCCATGTCTGTGGTGCCCCATTGAAGGCAAAGCTGATAGAAATTGTCCGGGTACAAAGATTACTTTCCTTGCTGCAGACTTTGATTGCTAAAGGTAGTCCACCTGCCAGTTTTCTATGCACAGAATGGAAACAGCAGAGCAGGACAGAGCATGAAGTATCAGCCACCAAGGGATGTGTAAGGCTTCCAGCACCCACAGAGGTCCTCGCTCCGCTATAGTGTTTGGCATAGGCCACCACCGTGACACTGTCCGTCTGAATCCTGACAGGTCGCCCTTTAAGAAGCACATGGCTCCAGGATACTAATAGGTAGCCAAGACTTCAGTCTTCCAGCAGGCCTTGGCCAACCTCAGCCCCAGAACCCCCCAAGCTAGATAAGATGGCATCTGTCATAACTACTGTCCAATGGAGAGGGAGAAAAAAAAAATTCCCATTCAGAAGAGACAGAGATCAAAGCCACCAGAGGAGGGAGGACTTGCCTGACTGTCCCATGCAGATCTGTCTGTCCAGGGATGCAGGAGACTTGTCCCATTTGCACAGGATTTCCTTCTCCAGAAGCCTTGTATGGGACTGCGCATAAGAGACTGCCTTGAATATGTATACCATGAGGCTCAGGATCTGCATGCAGACCACAGAGAATACAACCTGCAGGAGAGCAGAAACTGAACAGCAGTCTGGAGTTTCCAAACCTTGTTCAGCGGAAGAATCAGACCCAGGTATTCCAGACACCTGGTCAAGGTCAGAGAAGGATTTTCATAGTTCAGAATCCAGCCAAACTCCTGCAGAGTGCATACAGTGATCCCATCGTTGTTCATGAGAGCAAAAAAAAAAAAAAAAAAAGACACACCCCAAAGGGAGGTGGTCATCCAATTGGCCCACCACGGTAATCCCCCACTGTCTCAGGCCCGGAGCCTGAGGTGGTAAAACACCCCGGGGGCTGAGACCAGACCAAAGGGAAGAGCAACAGACTTCACAAGGGAAGGAACCCCCAAATATGGCTGCTGAAGCCAGTCCCCGCCAAAATGGCCACCCTATAGGCCTTGGCAAAATGGTCAAAGCGGAACATGGTTGCTGGTCACACTGCATATGCTGGGTGTCACCTGAGACAGAGGACCACCCCATACCCTCAGCATACACTGGAATGGCACATGGCACCCACCTAGGGATAGGCTGCAGACCTCACCTGAGCATTAGCACCCTGCAAGTAAGAAGGGGGGGAGATTGTGTGCAGATCACCTAGGCCTGGGGGGG